TCCAGAAAATACTAATAAAATCAATGAGCAACCAAACCAGTATCCACCGTACATTCTTGCCAATTAATGACACCATCAAAAATAAAACAAAATATAAGAAATAAAATTCTCATACTTACACACGGGCAAGGCTTGACAGCATCACTTGGAAAAAATCCAACCTCTCCAGATGCTAAATTTCTACCCTAAATTAGAAAAAAAAATAGTCAATGCTGAGAACAAACATACCATAAATAATAATCCCATAACATTGTGTTCATAGTGTTGTTACTCAGGATCCTCAGAATTACACTTTGGACCCAGCCCTAAGCATTAATTAACTATGGCTCAGGAAGGGAAGCAGAAGCAGAGAGGTTTTACAATTGTTAAACTTTACGCGTGGTTTCAGATACAGTTATGAAATAAGAATTCAAATTTGACTTTCCAAGCTACCGATTTCGTTATTTTTACATCTCTTAACCCTATATAGAGATAATAGCAATAGTCTTTCAATTTTATATTCATTAATACAAGTAGATCATATTGGCTTTGTGCAGGTTCATAATTAATTAGGAATTCAATTTGCATGGTTACTATTGGTGTCGCTAACATAACTCATGATAACATTGCTCCAACAAGGCAAGAGACATTTCAAGATATGTGGAAATGGAAAACAGCATGGTATGATGTTTTACATGATTTTCAGATTTAGAAGAAAGAAATAAGATACTGATTAAGTTAAATTATTGGAGGAAAGTATTTTAGCTCTAAATGGCATTGTAAATGAGAAAATGGAAGAAATTAGCAGAGTAAGCAAAATCTAAGCACAAAATGGACAAAAAATACTTAAGAATTTATTCTTAGAGACTCTTGGTCAAATTCCTCTTTTAAGAAGTCTCATGGCAGTTGATGTTGTATAATATTGTATGTCAACTATAAGTGAATATATATATATATATATATATATATATATATATTCATTCATGGGACGTGGAAGTGGAGGCAAGGGAATTGTAATAGATATGTATGATATTGGGGGGAAGTGGGGTGGCGGATTGGGGGAGGGGGAGTTGTCACTTCGAGGGGTAAAAAGTATAACTATTGTACTGTGTTGTACAGCTGAAACTAATTCTAAAAAATGTGTATTTCATAATAAAAAATAATTAAAAGGAAAAAAATAATAATAATCAGCCAGGAAAAAAAACAGTCTCATGGCACTAACCCTAAAATTGTTTCCTTTTTCCACAAACTATACTCAAAATATACTACAATAATCAGAATGCGTAATTTACAAATTCTTGTGAGATTACTTCTCCCTGTTCAGAAATTGGGCTTATATTTATTTGCTACTTAACAATTGCTTGCTTCTCAGCACCTCAGATGAGTAATAGCATATTTGGATGTTACAAGCTATATTATTTTTGAAAAAGAAAAGTAACAAAAAATGATCACAAAACATCTCCCTCTTAAAGCAGTATCCCTTTGTGCCCATGCAACTTAGCTAAAAGTGTGTAGAGAACATTTTGTAAAGTGGGAGTCTAGAATTTAAAAAAAAAATGAGAAGGAAGGTGAAGGAAAGAAAAAAAGAGGGGAGAGAGGAAGTGGAAAAAAGGGAGAGGAAGTGCAGTAGAAAGGGGGAAGGGTCAGATGTAGGGAAAAGCAGGAGAAAAGAGAAGAGGAGGGTGGAGATTAGGACAGAGAGGGAGACCAACTGAACAACCAAAGAGATGATACTAATTTTGACAAGCTTCTAAAACTGCATTGCCCTTTAATATCAGGAAAAAGGCGAGTGACCAAGAGAAACATTCATTCATTGATTCAAAAAACATAGTCTCTAATATTAATTTGGTTAGACACTAAGGAAAACGTAAAAATTCATAAAAATAATTCTCATTTTCCCCTATATTTTCAGAGCAAATATATGTAAACATATAATTATAATACTAGATAGGGCTAACTACTGTTTGAGAGGGACAGAGGAGAGGCTTTGGAAATTAGAAAGATGGATTGACTCTTGAGGGGTTGACTGAAAGCTACATGAAGGGCTACATAAAGCACATGAATGTAAAATGTGCAGGGTTTAAATAAATAAAGATGGAAAATGGAGGAGAACATCCTGAAAACAAAATATAATATGAGAAAAGCACAGGGGTAGGAAATTACAGGATGTGCATATGAAATGCCAATAATTCCCTTTATGTGGAGTCAAATGATGGCTAATACTAATTCAACCCTTACTATACTTTGGGCACTGTTCTGAGCATTTCAATTAGTCCTTACAATGGGTCTAACTACTATCCCTATTTTATAAGTGAGGAAAATAACACACAGAGAAGTTAAATGATTTGCCCACCATCACAAAACTGGCAAGTGACAGAACAAAAGTTCAAATTCCGACATTCTAACTTCAGAGCTGCACTGCTTCTCCATACAGACATAACACTCATGAAGGAGGACAGTGGGAAATAAGGCTAAAAGATAGCAAGGAACCAGTTTGACTATGATAGCTGAACTGATCATTGGCGATGCAGTTTCAGTAAAGTGGCTACGTATTTCAGAAGAATTAAGCTGGCATCAGTGTGCAGCTGGCTTATAGATGGGCATGACCTTGTAGGTGAGAATATCGTTAGAAAACTGGTGTGGCAAGGGAAGAGGGGCTGGAGGAAGGGAAATAGGTGCTAGAGTCATTACTTAACTACAGGTGTTTGCGAGTTGCCTGTGGAGGAGATATGGGGAGAGAAGTCTATAAGACTGAGGGAAAAGTCAAGGATAAAAGTGATTACTTAACCCATCCATACATAACACTGATTTAGATGGCAATCATACAGATGGGAAACTTGAAATCATTGGAGCAAGACTGTCATAGAAGACAATGCAGAGAGAAGATGATGGAGAACAGAGTTTACAGAAATTAGTACAAGTAGAAGGTAGGATGGAATCAGTAGGAGTGAGAAGAATTGGAGGCTAAAGAGTGATGACAGCACAGTAACCATAGGTTAGAATGAAGTGTTTCTTTCATTCAAATGTATTTACTGAGCTCTTTATTTGTGCTTTATTTTAAGCATGACACTAAGATACAAATAAATAAGTTTAATATGTGGAAACTATACAACTAGCCAGGCCCTTAAATATAAATGCCTTGCAATGTTACCTGAGTACAAAATATAAGGGTGTGAACCATATACTGATGGAAGCTCAGAAGAGAAAAGGAAAGGGTAATTTCTGGTCAAGATGGTGGTGTACGTAAATGCAGTGCTTACCTCCTCTCAAGACCACATCAAAATTACAACTAAACTACAGAATAACCATCATTGAGAACTGCCTGAAGTCTAGCTGAACTGAACTCTTATAACTAAGGACATACAGAAGAAGCTACCTTGAGACTGGTAAGAGGTGCAGAGACTTAAAATGGGCTTGTTCCATACCTGTGGGTGACTATTAGAAATCAGGAGGGCTATATGAGCTGCAGAGGTCCGCCCCAGAGAAGTGAAGGGTCTCAGCCCCACACCAGGACCCTCTAGACCAGGGTTCCAGTGCAAGGGAGATAAGTCCCCATAACCCTTGCTGTGAAAACAAGTGGCGATTGTGGCTGGGTGAGACAATGGCTGGAGTCCCAGGTATTCCTCTTAAAGGGACCAACCATGGACATACTCGCTGATGTATTCACTTGCTCTGGGCTCAGCTCAGGGGTGTGCCAGAGACATACAGGGAGGAACTGAGTTGTCTGGCTTTGGGGCAAGATCAGCTTTCTCCCAGACAGAGAAGCTGGCAGAAGCCACTGTTTCTTTGTTGAGTCTTCCCTGTTCCCAGCGTGCAGACATGGGCACCCACTGTGTGTCTCCATCAACCTGGCTACCACCATTCGTTAGCCCTGTCCTAGTGATTCCCTGAGACCAAGCCCCACCCAAATTTTGGGCACACCCAAGCCACTTCCAGTGGCTTTTCTGTACAATCAGTCTGTCTTGGTCCATGCTGTGGACTTTCCTAAAATTTCTCAAAGGTTCACAAACCCAAAACAAGTAGCATTTGGCATGTCAGGTACCTCATGCTGATCAGCCCCAAGCCCGGCACTAGTGGCAGCCAGCCTTGGTTCACAGCTTGGCCTCTTGATGCACCTCCAAGCCTATCACAGATGGTGCCTATCTGCAGATTGTTGTACTGTGGCTTATGCTAGGTGGCCCCAGGCAGGGCACAGACTGCAGTTGAACTTGGCCTGAAGTGAGTTCCCTTGCAAGAAGCCCTGGGGTCAGCACACCAGGTGGCCAGAGTCAGTCTGAGCCAGAGCATCATGCGGCCACTTCCAAAGACAACACAACCAAAGGGCACACTGGGCAGGCACCAGAGCCCTGCTAAAGTGAATCCTGCTCCGTAGGGTCAGCCCCTGCACAACTCCTCCTCCACTACAGTCATGGCCAGTCCTCACAACCAATCAGCCTGAGGGTTAATCCCTCCTATTGATGTGCAAACAGCAACCAAGGCTCAACTATAACAGGAGGACACATGCAACCCACACAAGGGACACACCTGGGGCACCTGGCTCTGGTGATCAGGGAGATTGTGCCACTGGGCCCCACAGGATATACACTACATAAGGCCACTCTAGTAAAAATGGGAGGCATAGCAGCCCTACCTAATGCATAGAAACAAACACAGGGGGGCAGCCAAAATGGGGAGACGAAGAAACACGTCCCAAATGAAAGAACCGAACAAAGCTCCAGAAAAAGAACTAAACAAAATGGACACAAGCAATCTACAAGATGAATAGTTCAAAACATTGGTTATAAGGATGCTCAGCAGTCTCAGGGAAAACTTCAACGAAGAGATAAGAAACATAAAAATGAGTCAATCAGAAATAAAGAATACAATAACTGAAATGAAGACTATATTAGAAGAAATCAACAGCAGATTACATGATGCAGAGGGTAGAATCAGAGATTTAGAAGATAAGGTAGCAGAAAATACCCAATCAGAACAGCGAAAAGAAAAAAGAATCCAAAAAAATAAATAAAATAAGGATAGTTTAAGAGGCCTCTGGGACAACATCAAGCATACCAACATTCACAAAATTCCTTGACAGCACAGAATTGAAAACCTATTTGAAGGAATAATGATGAAAACTTCCCTAACCTGGCAAAGGAAATATATACACAAGTCAAGGAAGCACAGAACATCCCAAACAAAATGAACCCAAAGAGGCCCAAAGCAAAATGCATCATAATTAAAATGCCAAAGGTTAAAGACAAAGAAGGAATCTTAAAGGCAGCAAGAGA